CGGGTTCATCCCTCCAACTTTGGCCACTTACGTAGTCGTTAATCTGGGATCCATCTTGTCCTCTCCGATGGACCAGGATGACCCGGACGCTGCTCAGTTGTTTCCTTGCCGTGTTTGCTGAACTTTACGATGATTCTGTTGACTGTCGAAAGCGGGATTCCCAAATTCTGCGAATTTTCCGCTGACTTATTCCACCATCTGCTTGACCAACTATCCTTCCTCTAACAAAATCTGACAATTTGAGAAAACTTTGAGTTCTAGGCATGTTGTAGCACAAGATAATTAGGGAGCGGACCATTTTCGTTTATATAGTGTTCTGTGAACACAAATTAGTTAGCATTAATCAGTTAAATGACGAAAAATTAGGTGTCTATTTACTTGTGACCACTTGGTGTACATGTACCCATTAAATTAATATCTGAGAATTGTAAAAAAACACCAAACACTAATGAAGGCAAACAATTCAGCAGTTTATAAACACCAATGTAAATATAATTTTGTCTAATAATTTCTTAAACTCTGTATTTAGGCTTTCAATGCTAATCGTTATTAACTGGGGAGTGAATTTAGTTTCTTGGTGCATAAAGATATTTGATGGATGCTTAACTTTTTTACTTCAATATCATTTTTAACAGCTAAGTATATGCATTGATAACAAATTATACCTCAAAAATATCATTTTAAAGTGCATTAAGTAATTTAAAATAAAATTTATTTTATTTTTGCTTATTTCTACAAAGAATTATAAGAAAAAGGAACAACACAAAATTAGAAAATACAGGCCGCACAATTGAAAAACAAAAAGCTATAATGATAATATTTGTCTAAAATTTTGTTTCTGATATAGCTCTTCAAAAATCTGTACAAGTCCTGTAAGTTATTAATTTCTTATAACATCTTAAACATAATTTTCAAAAAAATCATACAACATACAAAAGACCATAAGTCCTATTTCTATTTCTTCAAGAATTTGTTCAAGTTTTTAAGATCCTAACACTTATGAATTTTAATAAAATCTTAAACATAATTTATAAGATATTATAAATATACATAAGATCCTAAAATAATTTTATTAAAAGATCTTTCAATCACCCTAAAATTCTAACGATGCCCACAATCCTCTACGCACAACTATTAAAAATTTCAGCAATATTGAGAGAAACATAACATAGAAAATTCTGAAAAAAATCTAGTGTTTTCAACTTGTAGAAAGTTTTTTAAAGAAGCAATTGATATAAGATTCATAACCATGTGAAATAAACTACTCTATCAATTATTTGTAGATTACTTAAAAATAAGGTTGTGCCATTTATTACCTATAAATAAGAAAACTGCTATATTTTTGGGTCATTTGTGTATCCATAATATGAAAATTTCATTGTGTTTTTAATGGTTTACAAGCATACTATAATTCTTTATTGTTTTTGAAAGATTAATTGTTTTTCAGGTTTTATAAAAGAAACACAAATTTATCCACATTATCAAAATAATATTTTTATCCAATTTATTATCAACTGAATTATTCATATCTATAAAACAAAAAATATAT